CCTGCAGTTGCACAACACATGAGCTCACTCCTAAAGATAATTAGAGGAAAAGGGTGATTTCTTTGAGATCTGCTCCCTGGTGTGTCACAACCTAAGGTACCTCAGCGCCCTCCATCTCGGTGGCCCCCGTGGGGAGAGCTGTCCTCGTCTGATAACTCGTGCCGTTCGGCGGTCAGGCAGAATTGTTTAGTAACGGCTATCTGGGCTATGCTGACAAGGTGTTTAATGTTTCGTGATTAACCTCAGTCATCAGTTGGACAGGCAGAGTGGCTGCTCACTGCACTCTATTCCCCAATTATTGCTCTTTAAGGAGAGTGAAGCAAATTTATGGCCAGTGAGAGGAGAGTAGTATCCCAACAATTACTCTGGGTGCTGGAATTAAATTGACAATTTGTAATCTTAATCGCCTTAACACTGCTACACCCAGGGAGAAGCGAATTCGGCCAGGGCGAGGTCCCGGGAAATCAATTCATGGACTATCTGTCTTTTACCTCTCTTTCTTTCCCCTATCTACTCGTTTTTCTCCAACCCTCTTGCACTCACTCCATTTCACTCTCCTCTACTCTTATGGCTTTGTTTCTCATCAGTGATCCTCTCTCTTCAACGCACTGACATCTTACTTGGCAGAGATTTTCATTATCTAAGGAGTGGAGCCATTTACCAGAGAATGGGCTCCAGCCATCTACTATTGCTGACTGAAAGCTTGTTTCTCTATTGGGTCTTACACTCATCCATTCCCCCTTTTTTAGCACTCTCTAGGCCCATGACAAGTCTGAAAACATGCTCACACACTGGCCCGAGTTCTTTCCCTGGTATTCATAGCTTTACTGATGAAAGCCTGTGTGCACATTCACGACCACTGTTACCTTCTAGAGCTACTTTTTAGAGCTTTATTGAAACAGTTGAGACTTTCACACTAAGACTCTCAGTTTAACCAGTAGACATATTTCATTCTCTAATTATTTTATGAGTTTTAACCTGATGGATTACCACAACTCAAAGTCAGTGCTTTTTTTGATCGTACAGTATAAATTTCAATAAATCAATGTAAATATTTAAAAGCAGGAACAAAAGACTGAAAGAAGAAGCTTTACAGGCTTGGTGATGATGCAGTGTTTTATTTCTTTTAACAATGACAACCAATTTCTCAGGATTTCGTCTAACGTCAGATTATACAGATTTAGAGTTCTGTTTCTTTTCCTTTTGAGATTTTTAAACATTTGATATGTAACTATTCAGATCAACAACAAAAACAGACAATCAACATGTGATGCTAGCATCCCAATGCATCAAGAATGTGCCTTGAATGAACTTTTCCCTAAGTAGGACACTTAGAAGGTACTTGGAGAACTGACGGACAAGAACTAGTGTAGATGGGCACCTCAGGTTTTCAGGCTTTGTGAGGTTTTCCCAGTTATGCCATTTATTTGTGCTAAACTGCCACTACTTAATGTAATGTTTGTAATGGAAATTAGTTATTCATTTTTAAATGTTCCAGTATTATGAGTATATTTTAAATCCACAGAAGATGTATGAAAAGGGTAATCCATCAAATTGTAACCACTGAACCAATGAATTCTGTTTTGGGGGCCAAATGTGTCCTTTGGCTGCTATTTGACTTGGTCTAAGCCCTGTGAGACTATGCCTCAGCACAACATTTGACACTACATGATAATGTTGCTGACACCATCACAGTAAATGGCGATCTTTAGTGGGTGTAAAGATCGCACTGATGTGAATCCTTTTACAGTTTCTGAATGGAAATTACACGTAACTTCTAACTCATCACGCTGGCATCAGAAGTCAGAAAATCTCAGAGGCACTTACATTTAATTTAAGGAAATTGTGAATGACTATACCAATGTTCATGGCATTCTGTCCATTAAAACCTTAAATTAGTTTGCTCAAAACCATAGAATCACTGTACTTCACACCCTTTACCAAATTGGTTTTAAATTGTCATTTCAGTCTGGTCTATTAGATTATTTAAAACAGACATATTTCCCACATAGCAGACAGGTCTGGCCCGGATTTGGTGTCAAACCGGTCCTGCTGACTGACTCCTGGCAATGTAAGTGGTATGTCATCCAGATATGGGCCAGGCCTGGCACAGATGGCGCTGTTTATGTGATGGCATGCCACATCTGGCCCGACTGTGGTTTGTTTTATGTGGCCCAGGCTCATAGAAAACAGGTCTGGCCCAGATCAAGCTGGCACTTCTGACTGACTGGTGTCATGGCAGGGTGTATGTCAACCAAATGTGGGTCAGGTCTGGCAATGATGGCACTATTTATGTTCCTAATTTTATTTTAGTTAGAAGGCCCAAATGCCATGTTGCAATACTATACTGCTATGGTAGCCAACTTTCAAAAGCAGGTTTGACAGGTTTGTGAGTGTACACTTTATCCAAAACCTAGTGAGGGTTTACTCATGTTTAGCACTGGGTGGCTGTAGCTTATGAGTGGTTCAATCACTGGCTCCTCCCGTCTACATCTCAAGAATGTGAATGTGTATGAATGTAGTTAGGAAGCACTCAAGTTAGAGAAAGTGTGTGATTGGGTGACTGTGGCATGTTGTGTAGAGCACTTAATAATGATGAATAATCCATGAGAGTAGAAAAGCGCTATATAGGAATCAGTTTACATGGCTTGATTAAGGTACACATTAGGCTGACATCTGGGGCCAGAGCTGAAACTGTTCTGGGCCAGCAGTGTGTCTGCAACTGGCCCGTGGCTGCACACAACTTACACATGGCCCACATCCCACAAAGAATGACGGTCCTTTGGTGGCGCAGATCTGGTTTGCCAGAGGTTACACATGGGCCAGCACAGAACCAGCAGTGTGTTTGCAACTGGCCTTTTGCTGGCCCATGTGTGGGCCACCTCTGGCAAACCAGATCTGGGCCACCAAAGGGCCGTCATTCTTTGCGGTATGTGGGCCATGTGTAAGCACATTGTGTGGGCCAGATCTGGGCCATACCAATTTTGCTATGTGGGTTAATGCTTAACATTCAATTATTATCTCTGATTTAAGTTCCAGGTAAGAATTATTTTCTTTCAATCACTGCTGTCTTGATGTGAACGTAAGCTAATCTGATGGGGCAATTTTAAATCTTTACATTGCTGGCAATAAACTGTGAAACATGAAACACAAAGGTGTACCACTTTAAGAACATAATGTGTCATGTCAGGAAATTTCAAGTGTTTTGCATGCCTTTTCATGTGGTTCTGTAAAGGTCAGCGGGATGATTCTTGCTTCTTATGTATTTTTTGTTTCCCCATCTTGGCTTGAGGAAGAAAATTGTATTAATGGATGTGATGGTACAGGAGAGCTCACCAAAGTCATTACGATTCGTCCTTCCTTCTATGGGGACCATATATATTTTTGCTAAATTTATGGGCCAAACAATTTTTAATAATCCGGTCTGCACAGAAATGTTTAGCCTGTCCAACAGACACTTAACAAATCAGGAGTTCATAGGTTACTTCCCTTAAAATGACAAATGCGACCCTGACAGTGATCACAGTTTAGGTGAAGACCCATTAGGTTATCATTGTGTGCAAGTTTCACTACTAATAATTCTTGTGAATGACCCTTCAGTCATTTTGAATATTAACTCTTATTCTCTGGCCATCAGTTTCACATGGCTATCATCTATATTCTTCAACACTTGTGTGTGAAATTTACATCAAGTGTGAGCATGCAGCAATTTGTCATGTCAAGAAAAATATACTCATTCCTCAGCTTACTATTTTAAGAAGAGCAAAAATTCAACACTGCTTAAAGAGACATTACCATGACTCAGTCTTTTCAATACCCTCAGGCCTGTGTCTAAGCAGCCTTTTATGAAGAATCAGGTTCTGAAGCAAGTCGTTCATGTAAAGCAATACTTTTTGTTAGAATTTCATTCAGATTTCAGAGAGAACTACTTCAATCACCCTGTGCTGAACCATTTTGATAATATCAGAAATATGGTGGCGGTAAAGCATTGAAAAAATAAAAGAGTTTGGTCAATGCACAATATGGAACTCTTTAAGCTAAATAATACCGAATGAGGAAAATGTCACATCAAATTCCCGATCTGATATCTTTATTTGAAGAGTTGGGAATGAAACCTGGCTCTCTTCATAGCTTCAGTATGCTTAAAGACTCAATTCTTGGTAAGACAGGGATGCGATTACTGCTGTCAATGATACACCAGCAAAATCTTCCAATTAAATATTTTACCAAATTATATCAACACAAATTGAACCGTTTTTTGGCAAAGATATTAGAAAACTCTCCAGCTTATCTACATTAACAGAGAAGTTTGCACGGGGAAAAAAAATCTGTTGGTTATTAAGAAAAAAACATTTCACCGTGAACTGAAGCATTTCACTCTAATTGTGCTTTTTGATCCAGGTTTAAACACTGAACAGGATTCTAGTAATTGAGTCTTTTTAAACTACAAATTACAAAATTCGATAGCTCGTGCCAGTCAGCGGAACACATAATAATGGAGGCTTTTATGTCCGTGCGTCTTAATTACTGGAACGCTGACAAGACATTATTCTGGTTGACAAGAATGTGGCTTTGTATTAGGACTAAGGGGACAAAATACTACAAATGTTACATTCTTATGTCAGTCTTAGAGTTTTTAATAGTTCGGTTTCTTTCACTTCAGTGAATGTTCCTTTAATGTGGCCATTGTGGTTCTATAGGTCATGCTAATATTATTTTATGCAAAATATTTCTAGATTAAGATTTCTGTATGAAATAAACCAGAATTATCCTGCACATCTAATCATCAGATTATTTAGAATAATACTTTATTATTTTATTTCAGTGAGCCTGCAACATGTGCAAGCGATGCATCTTAGACATCGCCTGCACGTATTGGTTGCTCTGAAGCCCGGGTCAACATATTAAGATATTACAGATGACATTTTATAAACTGTTTTGTATCTTTGAGAAGCAGATGGAAAAGACCGGTGAACACATCCTTATTTTATTTTCTACAGGGCATTCTTCTCTACTGTGAATACCAGGCCTCTACTTTTGATGAGTCGAAGCTTCCCAGCCACAGGTTTGAGGCCATGGACCACTTTGCAAAGTGTTTCCTGATCCTGCGTCTGGAGGACAGCCAAGTAGAGGGAGGTCGCCAAACTGCTGAGGAAGACAGGAGAGGCTGGAGGGCTGTACGCGTGGACTTGGTGTCTCCACCTGTGGATCGCTACGCCTTTACTCTTCTTGGCTGGAGCGGCTCCAGGGTAAGAAGGATTATAGAGAATGAATGAAAGTTAGGTAGCTGCAGGAAGAAGGTGTGAGTAGAAAGAAATGTACTAGTAGTTATTCAGTACATCTTAGAAGTGCTTGAACCACAATTTGAAACCACAATTTGGTATCTAAGGCCAAGTGTACATGATGAAAATATGATTTCATATCAGCAAAGTCTCATATCCTATAACCATTTTGCTAATAACAATAATGAAAAGACATAGAAGTCCTCCAGGAATACAAAATGCATTTAGACATCGCTGTTTCCTTTTAAAGTCATATGGCTGACAAGGAAAATAGGTATTTAATTTCAGACTATCGATTCTTCCTTTCACAGCAGTTTGAGAGAGACCTGAGGAGGTTTGCTCGAATGGAGCGGCGAATGCTGTTGGACAATCACGCTTTGTATGACAAAACTAAGGTACATTTAAATTAAAACATTTAATTTTTAGCTGATAATTTTAAATTTGGGCATATTTATGATAAACGTATGATTCAACTGCATGATCAACGTAAACCTAGTACATTTCCATGAAGTGCTTTGCATTTATATTCATTCTATCAGTGATTTATATTTATTCATTCATTTAAAAAAATATTTGGTAAATAACTGTAAAAATAAGAAATTCTAACTGCACTTTACTTTTAATGTCAATAATGGGTTGGAGTAGTTAATTCACACATGTACAATATTTAGCTTTATGACTCATTGACAGTCAGCTTATTTTGCTGTTGATCCCCAGTAAGAAGGCGTCCACTTCTTCAGCAACTCATCTTTTACTTGCGATACTACAGATGTTGAGTTTTCACAGAACATTTCTGAAATGAGGGGGAAATGCAGGTCTTTTCAACTTTTTGCACCGACCGTTTTGAATGTGATATAATGCATGCGTCTTTTTTCTGTCACCTGCAGGTAAGTGGCATTTTACCATAAGGCAGTGTCTGTAAATCATTTATCTAAAGCATAAACAAAGAGCAGTGTCAGTATTTGTGACAGTATGTGATGTAGACATGACTGAAACCCATCCTGTGTAAGCTACAAGTCATATAATTAGAAAACAGCAGAAAGTAAGTTAGACATTTTTAGTCCTGAATATTGTCTCTTGCAAATTTCAAAAGTCTTAAATTCATTTCTGTGAAAAATTAACATTTAACTGTCCCAGAAAATAACTACCACCTCTGTCGCCTCTGTCAGTGCACTCCAGGGTGGCTGTGGCTACAATGTAGCCATCACCAGTGTGTGAATGTGTGTGTGAATGGGTGGATGACTGGTTGTGTAAAGCGCTTTGGGGTCCTCAGGGACTAGAAAAGCGCTATACAAATACAGGCTATTTACCATTTACCATTACCAAGTCTTAAACTCAGAAATCAAAGGTCAAGAGATTTGTGTGTCATTCCCTTTGTAAAGAATGGTCACCATGGAGGACATCGGCACAGAAATTAAAATTTCAATTGAATTATTTCTTATAATCAAGACAGCCCATAAAGAGGTGTTAGGTCTGATCACAGATAAAAGTTAAAGTCATGCAGGCCACACTTGAAATACGATAGTTTTAATTGTGCATACAAGGTTTTCTAAAACAGACAGCTATTTAAATATAACACTGTCAAACAAATGAGTTCAGTCAAACGTCTCTAACCTAAGACGCACAGCATGTTACTATGCAATGTACTGGACACCCTAAAGTGCACTATTCAATCTACCGGTTACCATCTCTTAGCATTAGTTGTATCATAACTGCTTAATTAGCGTAACCAGTGTTGAAGATGAAACAAATTCACGTGCACGTTTCTATTCTTTGTTTTAACTCATCTCAGTTTAAATGTCTTTTTAAAAATAATAATTATGTCCTAATATTCTGCATACAAAAAATCTCTGGGTGTTTTTGACATTGCCCACAATATCCATGATGAATTGCAAATTTAATTAGAAGACAACCACAAACAGCTTGTCTGTAAGTTGTTTGCAAAGAGATGTCTCAACCAAATTAATACTGCAGTGAGTAGACTTAATTACTAACCACGAAGCCATTGTTAAATTGTATCTTATTCTTTTCTTTTCCTTGCTTTTCTCTCACTGCAGCAGTTTGACACAGATGGCTATCCTCCCTGAGCCAGGTTCCCTCTGAGGTTTCTCTCTGTTAAAAGGAAGTTTTTTTCTGTCTTTTTTGTCTCACAAAGCACTGTGCACAGGTTTTATGAACTGACATTAAGTATTGTCTTTGAAGAAGCAAAGGAATCAGTCTGAAATTTGCATGATTCAATTGAAACAAATAAAAAAAAACCCACACAAAACAAGGTTGGTTGATCTTCTAACAATGCACTAATATATAAATATAGGCCAAACTAAAGAAGGACCAAAGAACTAAAGAAGGAAAATTGTGTTTTCATCAGGGTGAAATGATGGAGACTGTGGAGGCTGGGGCAGGCATTCTCTGATAAAAAGGGCTGCCTGATTAAAAACAAATTTGCTGTCTAAACTTGAAATCTGTGTAAAGACAAAAGTAAAACATTATTTCCTTTAAGACTTGAGTAAACAACATGATAATTAAGTTGCTATAAGTGTGTCATGTGCACATACAAACTAGTGTATTTATAAAAAAAATATTTATGTAAGTATTTATGTATGTAATAGATGCCTTAGTGAAACAAACTCAAAACACTGGAATCTCTGCTGAAAAAATTAACTTTGCTTGTGTGCATGCCTTGTACATATCATGTGTTGCGCGACTATTTGTCATTAATCGCTGTGTGGCAGGCAGGCAAGCAGGAGTGGTGGACCCAAAATGCAGAACTCAGACACGGAAGTGAAACTTAAAGTGCAGCTTTGTTGCTGGGAAAAACCTCATACTAACTAAACTCACCAAAAAACAAAAGTCTGAACAGAGGAACCAAGGACTGAAACACTGGAAAAGAAATACTAAACTGGAGCAGGAGACTAAACACTAGAAACATGGAAGCAGAACACACAGCTAGTTGAGGGTAAGAGGATGAACAGACGTTAACGACGCGGCACCGAGTAGGGGAAGACACAGACACTAAATACACATAGCAGCAATCAAGGGATGAGCAACAGGAGGGGGACACACCTGGGGGAAATCAAAGCTGACGGAACAGGGGAAACGTAAACGGAACACACTCACATGAGACAAAGACTTCAGAATAAAACAGGAAACTCACAGACACAGAACCAGGCAAGACACTGAACTAAACAGACAGATTCACAAGCAGACAGTGTGACACCATAGACAGACGGAGGGAACACAGAGAAGTGGGAGCACAGGCAACCTAAACTAAACATGAGGGCAAGATAACAAAACCTAAACCAGAAATAATAATAATAATAATAATCATCATCATCATCATCATCATCATCATCATCAGATAGCTAAAGAATCAGAATATAATTATAATCAAAACCGTATCACCAGAGAATAAGAGCTAATCCATAATGCAAAAATAAACCAAAACATAAGAAACTCAAAATGCTGGTCGACTACCTGCAATAGTTATGCCTTGTTCTGCTAACGTCTCCCCTTAGCATTCCAGCTAAGTTAACAGTTCTAGCAACAACCATCACAGCCATATCATTACACAAAGTGAGATAAGCTTTTTTGGTATCAATTATCTACTTAGAAAATCAGTTTGCATGATTCATTTATATATGCAAACGCATATGCTCACAGGAAAATTCATTACGTACGTCTTGCTAGTACTGGACTGGACCCTCTTTTGCCTTAAGAGCCGCCTCAGTTCTTTGTGGCATAGATTCAGCAAGTTGATGTAACTAGTTGCTGCGGTGGCCATTTGAATACTAGCTTTATGTTCAAGAAACCAGTTTTAGATGAATTGAACTCTGACCAGGCAGAATTGTAGCTTTAACATGATTTGAGCCTTGTGACATCAGAAAATTGGTGGACGTTGGTCATAAAGGGATGAGCCTGGCCAGCAACAGACAGGCTGTTTCATTTAAATGATACTCAGCTGGTACTGAAGGGAATAAAATGTGCCATCATTGCACCACCCACCTGAGTGGTTCATACACGGCAACATGGATCCATTCTTTCATGTTGTTTATGCCAGATTCTAAGCATACCATCTGAACATCACAGCAGAAATTGTGACTCACCAGGCAATATTTTCCCAGTCTTCTATTGTCCAATTTTGGTGAGCTCACTTGAACAGCAGCCTCAGTTTCCTGTTAGCTGACAGGAGTGGCACTTGTTTGAAGCACAACTACTTCAGTGCTCGGTTTGAACTTCAACAGGTGGTTTGGACTATGTCTACGTGTACTGAGTTGCTACCATGTTTTATGGTGTACCAAATGTTTTGAGTTGGTGAAAGGTCTGGATTGCAGGCAGAATGTTCGGCACTTGGACTCTTCTACAACAGAGCCATGCTGTTGCGCCTTTTCAGATTTACAAGCTTCCATAGGAACTAATGCAGCACCAAGAAGTTTGTCCATATATGGTTTCTTCTTTTGCATTTCTATGTGTGGATAGCAAAGCAAACTGTGTTCTGTAAGTTTTGCTGAGCCTGTGCAGTGATTGCAACAACAGAACTTCGATGACATTAAAATCTTGCCTGTTTTTTAAGCTACTGGAAGTCCCAGGCTTCTAACTTTCTACCTTTAAAACCCGCCTTCCAGCCAAATGGCTGGTAGGCTTTTAGCTAGGCTTTAGCTTCAGCCAAGTGGAAGCTAAATTGGTTAGTCATTCATATGTACATTAGGTTGTTACCTGAGAATTCTGGAGGGGAGTGGGGGTGTGTGAAGGATTGCTGATTTCTAACTGCCAACTGCCTCTTTGTTTTTCTGGTGGGGGGGAGCTGCTAAAAGCTGTGAACTTCCTTTTGTGTTCGTCTTGATGCATTCTCAATCATCCAGGAAAATAAATCTCCAAAAGTCACCAACTTGGAGTGGTTAGTTTCCTGCGCCACAAGGAATGTTTTATTAATGTTGTATTAATGTTTTAAGAACTGTGGGCATTCGATATTGATATTTAACCTTGTCCCTTGCACACAAAGATTTCTTCCCAATGTTTGAATCTTTCGATGACACCTATTTTTTTGGTGAACTTGGTGAACTTCTCTGCCTCTCCAAGATGCTCTTTATACCCCCAATCATGTTACTCACCTGTTGGCAGTTAGCCTAACTCGTTACAAAACATTCCTCTAGCTGTTGTTTTTAGCACCACTTACGTTTCAGCCTTTTGTTGTCCCAGATTCCAGGAGATGTGTTGCTGCTACATTTTCTCAGTTGTTTTCCGTGTTCTATTGTGAACAAAATATGGCTCTATGAAATTCACAAATCATTTCATTCTGCTTTTTTTCTTACATTTTTATATTGTGCACATCAGTCAAGCTGCTTTGGAAGTCGTTTATATATTGGCTATCATATTAACTGTAATTGTCGACACATAA